AACGTCAACTGGTCTCTGAAAAAGTCTTCGAGCCATTAGTCTGAAGTTCAATACAGAAAGGAAAATGAAAGCTATACATTTTTCACTCCTCTGCTAGAAGTGCAGTCTTGGGTTACCCACAGAAAATGACAGGGATCTTTGAGCCAATTGTCAATGGCACACATGGCTCCCTGCTAGAAACTGTCTTTCCTAATTATGACTTTTCAAACTGCATGGCAAAGACAGGGGAGTCAATGACTCAGGACCTTCCTAAGAGCAATGGGCTAAGAACCGGGGAGGGGGTCTCCGTTTTGAGTGAAGGGAAGTGTTCCCCTCAGATGAAGGGTGGTGACCTAGGTTAGCCAATTCACATTTGGCTGGAATTTCTGCAGACAGACTGTTACCATCTGTCAATGTTTGGTGGCTTAAGTGAACTGAACTGGTCTTGTTCCAATTCCTGGGTAACAGCTGGGCATATCACCAAGCAAGAGGGAGATGCCAATGGCTGAAGTTGGCACTAACTGTCTTTGCTGGCAGCTCAGCATACAGGCTGTGAGTCAGTGGCTCTGAGGGAGCTAGTTTGTGCTGGAACAGGCAGGGACAGCGATGAAACCATTCAAAAACATGATTCCCAAGTACATGGCCACAGCCCTGGAATTTCAGTCTTGGTCATATGCATGAGTGTGTGCACGCAAGAGGCATAGAGGTCCTTTGTGCTCACAGATCACTAGGGCAAGCTTGAATGTTAAACACACATGGTTGTTTCATCAAAAGAAGAAATGCATAACCTGTTACCCACCCAGAAGCCTAGAAGTGGATGTGGTTAATAACCTAGCGACCTGTGCCCTATCTGTGTGGGCAGAGACCATACACGATTCATCCCCTAGGCCCTTATCATAAGCATGCTTTCTCAGTCAATCCATAGAAGCCATTTTAATGGAAGACGTGACATGTGCTTTGCGATGTGTTTCAGTGTAGCCGTGTCTGATCTCCGGTTACCCTGCTTTGTTCCTCAGGGAGATTTGTGCGTGCTTTATTGAGCACACAAGATCAGGAAAGTTTTCACCAAATTGTGCCATGCTTAGAGGATGCCTAAAATAAACTCCTGAAGCTCAATAGACTCCTGAAGCTTGAACCAGCTTAACTGGCTACTTAGTTATGTTGACCCGAACCACCTTCTTGCCTCCTGTAGATCATTACGGTGCTGGCTGTGGCAGCTGCAGAGACCTGTGCAGAATCCTCAAACACTGAAAAAATCTGTCATGGTAATCAGCTTTCCCCCACTCACAGAATACCTGAGAGAAACAATTTAAATAGAGAGAGAGAAAGGTGTGTTCCATGGTTTCAGTCCACAGCCAGTTGGTCCCATTACTTTGGTCTTGTGGCAGGAGAATTCATCACTGAGTGAAACTGCAGTAGCAAAGATCTGTTCTACCCAGGTGGCTGAGAAGCAAAGAGCAGTGGGAAGGTCCAGGGTCCTAATAACCCTTTCAAGGAGATGATCTCATTGGCCTAGCTTCCTATACCAGAGTCCATTTTCTAAGTGTCCCAACACCTACAAACAGCACCACTGTAGGGACCACACCTACAGTATAGGAGCCTTTGTGAGGACCTCATTCTGCCTCTCCTACTGACCTCAAACTCATGGCAATCTTCCTGCTTAAGCGACTCCCAAGTGCTAAGAAGATCTACCATGTTCTTTCAGATACACTTAAGATCCAAACCATAACAGCCAGACAGGGAACAGTCATCAGCCCCTCTCCCAATTAAAAAGTAAACAAGTGATTAGCTATATTTCCTTTGAGCCAATTGTTGAGAACACATATGGCTTCCCTGCTAGAAACTGTCTTTACTAAGTATGACTTTTCAAGCTGGATGGCAAAGACAGGAGAGTCAATAACTCTGGCCGCCCCCTAAGAGCAACAGCTCGGAGTGTCACCCCTTTCCTCACACTTTGTTCTCTGATCAGTTTCTTACCATAGTCACTGTGTTTATTACCTGCTGAGGGTTCTGTCTAGGTGGGCTGTTAAACGCCTTTATAATTTAGCATAGCTAGGCAAGGCTATGCTGGGCTATTGCCTTGGAAACACGGAGACCACAGACTCCAGAGTCTTTCTACTCCCACCTGTCCCCAAGACAAGCTTGAGTCTGTCCTTTGAGTTTTCCTTATCACACCAAGTTCTCTGATCTCACTACCATCCAGGCTCCATCAACCCCTAGGCCGTCATGTTCTCTCGTCTTGTCGTCTCATTTTACCTTATTTTAAAACTTCATGTGTTCTTCTCCAGCCAGCCAATCTACTTTATTCCTTTTCTCTTTCTTTCTTTCTTTCTTTCTTTCTTTCTTTCTTTCTTTCTTTCTTTCTTTCTTTCTTTCTTTCCTTTTCTTTTATTATTTAATGTGGCAGTCCTTTTCTTTGACCCATTGAACAAATTTATTGGCTCCATCAGGAAAACTTTCCTTGCTACTTTCAAACAGTCTGTATCAAAAAAACAAGCAAGCAAGCAAACAAACAACAACACACTTCTAGGACTTGGCTTGGGGTTCTCTCGCACCGACTCTAACTCAGCCCAAGCACACACTGGGAATATATTAATGGGACATATTTTCTGTGTTTGGCCCACTATGGCGTCCATTATGCTTTTCACACAACAGATTTTGATCAAAAGAACTTGACTCCCAAAGTGTTCAGCCAACACATCCTAAGACATGAGCGAGTCTTGAAAGCAGGGCTTTTTCAATGACGAGTTGACAATGGAAGTGAGTGGGAGAGTGATGAACAGGAATACTGACTGTCCCTAACATCACTCGGCCACTGCTACTCCCAACACTTTTAGACCAAGTACTACAGGAGTTAGGATTTGATGGGTATGCTCTCCTCAGCACCAAGATGCCTTATGTCATTCAACTGTAAGAATCGAATGCCTGCCTCTCCCTTTGCAGAGCTCTCTTGGGCTGATTCTTCCTGCATTGCTGCCCTGTGTTGCCACCATTGCTGCCCTGCTCTCAGGCAGGCTCTTGCTCCCCAGTGTGGAGAGTTAGCTGATGATGGCTCACATCAGTACACCTGGGATCCCATCTGGACCTGAGTACAGTAGAAGAGAGACGCTGCACTCAAGCTAAAACCCTGCTCCAGGACAGGCCACAGTGCAAGCACCAGCGTGTCCTGCCTGACTTATATCACTTAGAGCTGCAATAGCACCAGTATTCTAACCACCTCTCCACCTGCTCGCTTCTGCCTCCCTCCTTTTCTTTACCTGTGTGTTTGATCACTTTCCTTTTTGACAGTACTAGAGATTGAGTGCACAGCCTCACCCATGCCAGGAAGACACTCTATGCCGAAGCTATATCTCCAGCCTTCTTTGTAGTTCGTCTGACACACAGTCTCGTTAAATTGTCCCGACTGTCTCACCATATAGAAGAGGCGCTGGATAGGCACTTCCTAGTTACCTCACCTAGTGTTACCTGGAGGAAGCCTTGGGAAATGGGTGGGCCTGCCTCGTTGCCCTCCCCACCCTGATGCTACCTTTGCCCCAGTTAATGGCTCCTCTTTTCCCTCTCTCCTATCAAGAACTTCTTCTCCCCTGTGTGTTCTTCAAGCTCTGCTCTCAGGAAAGGATCTGATGAATTGAACCATACAAAATGAACCAAATATTAATGTTTTACCAGGTGAGACTTAACATAAACTAGTGCTTACTTTAAACCAGAGGGAGAAGGTATACACCACGAGTCTAAACACTGCTCTCACACATGTTTGAGCAACTACTGTATTCAATAGTGGTTATAATTTGGATGGAAGAGAGACGATTTTAGGTTGGGGATGGCTTCTCAGACCTCACTGATGACATCACTGATTTCTGGGACCATGACCATCCTCTGTATCCAGGTCCTGTGAGGGCCCTGTGGTTTTGCTCAGGCTCTGAGAAGATGCTGACAGCTGCAGTAGGTTCACACTTCAGCAGGGGCAGGCATCTCTGAGCAGTTCTCCCAATTCCCCCAGGACTAAGGAGAAATCTACAGTCTTTTTATCTCATATTCATTTCTCCAGAAAAAAGAAACACCCCCCCCCCACACACACACACACACTCCTCTTCTGCTCACCTTAGCAGCAGCCTTGAAAGGTGACTGCCCTGGTATTCAGCAAAGTTGTGACCAGGAACTTCTAGACAAGTTCAACATGAGGGGCACAAGCAGGAGATCACCAGGGGACTTGGCAGCAGGTGTCCACTCTGAATTTTTTTTTTTGTGTGTGTGTCTGTGTGCTTGTGTGTGTGTGTGTGTCTGTGTGTGTGTGTGTCTGTCTGTCTGTCTGTCTACATGTGTCTGAGGGTTTTACTAGAGACGGAAGATGGAAAATACTGCTTCTAATTTTCTCATCTCTCAAACGGAAAAATCCACGTTGGATTATCACTTGGCTTTTCACAGACTGACAGAAAGCGAGGCCCAGAGATTTCGAGGAAGCAGCCTCACTGTACCTGTTACAGTGATTAAAGGACCCCAAACTTTGTTTGTTTCACTGTCGTTTCCTGGGAATCCCTATGCAAATTGTGTGACCTTCTGTTAAACTTCAGCTTAGAGGGTGGGATGGGGCAGAGATTAAAGTAGGTTCAGTTTCACATCTGGCTATCCAGAATGTTTAATAAAATACACAAAACTGTCATTAGTATATTTTTTTAAAGATTTATTTATTTATTATTTATAATGTTCTGCCTATATGCCAGAAGAGGGCACCGGATCTCACTGTAGATGGTGGTGAGCCACCATGTAGTTGCTGGGAATTGAACTCAGGGTGTTTGGAAGAGCAGACAGTGCTCTTAACCTCTGAGCTATTTCTCCGGCCCTATTATCAGTAGTTTACAAAAGTATTATCAAGTCTCCCCTTGGTGATAGAAATGTGCATTTTTAGAAATCAGGTGCACAGATTTTCACTGAGAAAATCTAGGAAGCGTAGTGGCAGGAGATCACTCACCTGTGGTGCTGAAAGGGACTAAGGTGGAACCTAAAGCTCCCAGATCACTTACCTGGAAATGTTGCCACAGATCACTGAGCACGGCTGAGTGTTGTGCAGGTATCGGACGGCTTTGGATAGTCCTATCAATACACTGATTCGAATGTGCCAGGAAAGTGGGGCTGTGTTATTCTAGAAGACAAGAGAAGTTGGTTTGGTTGTATTATCTCGGTGCAAATTATCTACATATCCACTATGCAGGCATGTGCTACTACAGCAGTAGATGGCAGAGTGGAGTGAGAGTGAATCAGCATCTGGGTTTGCTGCCACCTGTTTTTAATTCCCAATGGGCTTGCCTCTGCGGGTCCAGGGCGGTGGTTCTCAACCCATGGGCCCTTACCCCCATGGGGCCACATACCAGACGTCCTGCATATCAGATATTCACGTTATAATTCATAGCACTAGCAAAATCACAGTTATGAAGTAGTAACAGAAATAATTTTGTCCTTGGGGTCACAAGAACATGAGGAACCGTACTAATGAGTCACAGCCCTAGGAAGGTTGAGAGCCACTCACTGTCCTACGAAAGCACCCAGCAATTTCTAACATTAGCTTAATGGAACTGTGGCCCAAGGGCTGAGAGTACAGCTCGGCAGTAGACTCCTTGCTTAGCATGAACAAGGCACCGGTTTGATTCCCCAGCCCTGTCCTGTGCCCATGTAAATACCACTTACTAAGGGAAGTTGAGAGTAGTTGATATAAACTCACTGTACATATTTGGTGATATTAAACCAAACCCGGTAACTTGCCATCAGGCGGCCTTCTAACAGTAAGAAATCAGTTCCCTGAGATGGTTCTCTACTTCCCTGGGGAACTTTCCCAAAGTTCACCCCGTGTGTACTCAAACCTTGCCTCTCAGTTCTCTCCAGCCCCCCTTTACCCTTAGCTTTAGCGAGTAAAAGGACCTGAGAAAATAGTAGCTGGGACTTACTATGCACTGCAATCTGTCGAAAAGCGTCCCGTTACTCATATATGGATAAACCAGACAAACTTTCTCAGCCTCGCTGAAATACGCAGCCAACTCTAGTATGTGGGGATGACGGAACCTTAAAACAGAAGATTTTAAACCATCAGATTCTTCACTCCAATAGAAGATGATGAGATTCTGATCAGGAGAGGTGGGAAATGGTTATTTTATTATTTTATTTTATTTATTTTTGGGAAACAGTTCTAAAGTAATTAAGTTTGGCCAAAACAAGCCATCTTATTGGGAATTCCAACAGATACTATCTCTACCCTTTTTAATTTACTGTCAGAATGTAAATAAAAATAATATATTAAAATTTTATACCAGGTATAAAATTTAAGGAAGCATTGATTTTGTAAGATTGGGGATACTGAGAACGTCATACAAAAAAAAAAGCCTGATTCAATAATCACTTATTTTCACTAATATAAAACAGTGTCACATCTTTACTTGTTAAACAAATATTGACTATGCAACTAAGGCCCATCTGATTCAGTACACAATGCAAGGAAAATCACAAAAACACAGGATTAGAGAAGATTGCCTTCATTCATCCATCAACGGAGCATTACTACGTCAGGTGCTGGGTTAAGTCCCAGTTACGTACAGGAAAGGGACAGGTCTTTGCTAAGCTTAGATTGTTGCTGAGAATCTCCACACAATGGTACCTTGAGGTATAAAAAAGTGACACTGAGTTTGAATTATATGTTTCTGCATTAGGGTATTATATATTTCTTAGGCTCCTGTCCTAAACATTTGTTAACCAATTAACCAGAATAAACTCTGTTCCGTGGATGTCATTGTTATAGGAAGATCAATATACTCCAGGTGCTCATAGCTGAAGGGACAGGTATTGGCTCAAGACACCCCAAGACCAAGTTCTTAACACACAGGAGATTATTTGCACCAGAGGGACAAAGGGCAGGGAACAAGAGACAAAGACAGGCGATAGAGGACAAGGGAGAAAGGGGAAAGGAACAAGGGAGAGGGGGAAGAGATATTTGTCCTGGGATACGGTTGGGGGTGGGGAGGGGACAGGAACAAAGGACTGCCTCTGGATAGAGAGGAGACAGATGTGGCCCATAAGCAAAGGGCAGTTCATAAAGGTAAAAGAGGAAACCCCATGTTAGGATGAGGAATTTAATTTTGATTCGATAGGCTAATTAGGGCAGCCACAAGGGGACTTTTGATTGCTGAATGTCAATACTTTGATAGCCAGACCTTGGTAGTCAACCTTAAGAGAAGGAAGTATCCAAAAAATGGCTAGAACGTACTTAAAAATTGTTCAACATCCCTAGCCATCAGGGAAATGCAAGTGAAAACTACTTTAAGACTGCCTCTCCAGTCAGAGTGTCCTCCATGAAGGATACAAATAGCAGCAAATGCTGGTGTGGATGTGGGGACAGGGGAATTGCTTGTACACTGCTGCTAGGTGCATAAACTAGGACAGCTCTATTGGAAATCTGTCTGGAGGTCCCTCCAAAACCGGAAGCTGACAGAGCTTATCACGCTTGACATACCCAAAGAAATTCTGCCACAGAGACAGCTGTACATCCAAGTTCATTACAAGTCTATTCACAACAACGAGTAAACTCAGTCAGCCAAGATGTCCACCGTGCGATGAGTGGATAATAAAAATGTGGTACATTTACACAATGGAATATTATTCAACTATCAGAAGACCAACAAAGCTAAAAAATCTGAGTCCAGGGGTTTCCTGCAGAGACGGATGCACCAACCAAAGATCATGCATGGAGAGGACAAGACCACTTGCTCAGATGTAGCCCATAGGCAGCTCAGTATCCATATGGGTTCCCTAGTAAGGGGAGCAGGGGCTGCCTCTGTCATAAACTCTGTTTCTTGCTCTTTGATTACATACCCCTGGTGATGTGTCCTTGCCAGGCCACAGAGGAAGAGGATGCACACAGTCATGATGAGACTTAACAAAGTATGGGCAGATGGCAGGGGAGGAGGACTCCCCCTTTCAGTAGACTAGGGGAAGAGGATAGAGAGGAAGAGCGAGGGAGGGGGACAAGGAGGAGATGAGGGAGGGACTACAAACGGGATATAAAATAAATAAATTTTGTAAAAATAAAATAATAATAATAAAGAAAGATGAAATTGTGAAATATTCAGGCAAAGAAATGAAGCTAGAAACAATCATTCTGAGTCAAGTGACCAAGACACAGAAAAACAAATGTTACATATTTTCTCTCATTTCTGGATGTTAGCTTTGAATCTTCGGATATTTGTGTTCTATATGGAAGACCCAAAGACATAAGACATTTAGTAAAACGCCAGGCGGGTGGGGATGGGGTCGGGATCTCTCCAGGAAGAACAGATAGAATACAATGGTATAAAGGGCTAAAGTGGAATAACAGAACAGAAAGGGTTAAATTTGGATGAAGGATGGAATGGCAGGCTGGTGGGAACATTTGGAGAGATAACAAACACTGAAGCCTCTCCAAAAACGCCACATGGAAATCTACTGCTCTAAGAGCTTCCTAAAAGATGGAGATGTACACATATAAGAAGAGTTCTAGCTGGGTAGTGGAGCCGCACACCTTTAATCCCAGCACTTCAGAGGTGGAGGCAGGTATACAGAATGAGCCCTAGGAGAGCCAGTGCTACATAGAGAAAACCTGACTTGAAAAACCAAACATCCAAACAAAAAGAGTTCTAATGGATTAAGGAAAGACAAATACTTAATGGTCGGTGGGTAGGGAGTTGAAGATAGAGAGAGTAGACCTGGGAGGAATCGGGGAAGGGAAGCAGACACAACTGAAAGGCAATGTATTAAATCTCAAAGGATTAAAATAATGTTTTTATAAAATCATATACCCTGATAAAGGAGAATTATCCTTGGGATTTAAGAATGGCAGACCATGCACAAAATGAGCAACAACGTACCAATAATGACCAATAATAAATAACCAAATAATAATATACATTATCAGAAAGAAGGTAAAAAAGTCATATGATCATTTCAACAGATTCAGGAAAAGCATTTATCAAAATTCACAGCCCTTCAATATAAAACTCTCAATGAATTGTGGAGAGAATGCGGTTCAATATAATAAATGCTATACACCATAAACTCATAGCTGATGTCATAACTCATCACGACAAGTACATTATCCGTAAGGAGTGAGAACAAGATGTAAAGAACCATAGTCACATCTATGCAGTGCTGTGCTGTAAATCTTAGCCAGAGCAACTGGACAAGAAAAAAAAGAAAAAAGGAAAAGAAAAGAAAAAAAAGATAGGCATCTGAGCTGAAAAGGAGAAAGTCAAATTATCTCACTTTGCTTATTACATGATCTCATATGTGGAAAACCTGAAAGACGCTGTCAAAAATAAATAAATAAATAAATAAATAAATAAATAAATAAATAAATAAATAAACAAACAAATAAATAAATAGATGCTATGACTGATAAATTCTTCCAATACACAATCAACATATAACATCAATGTTATTTCTCTACATTCACAATGAGCTACATGAATAAGGAATGAGGAAAATTATCTATTACTAAGACATCAGATAGAATAAAATAAGAAATACATTTAACCATGGAGATAATCTATATACCAAAATTGGAGCAACAGATTTCACTATAATAGAAATCCTAAAACCCATATGAAACCATGAAAGACTTCAGTCGAAGTAATATAAGAAAGCAGAATCCCGATTCAAAGCAACATTAAAATGCTACAGTAATCAAATCAGTATGTGTTGCAGAAGGCAGTCCCATGGATCAGTGGCATGGAACAGAGGGTCCAAAAATAGCCCAGTCCCTACGTAACCTCATCAACTAAAACCCTGACTAGGAAGTGAAAAACACACAAAGGGGAAAAAAATCTCTTCAATGAGTGATATTAGGGAAAGAATGGATCTGGATTTGTCTTATATCACATGTAGAAATTGACTTGATTGATGCTTCAGAAACTTAAACAAAAGGTCTGAAACCATACAGGTTCTAAAGTAAAATTTCTTCAACATTGGCCTTGGAAATGATTTTTTTTTCTTTTTTGAGATGGCATGGCTGTTACTGCATTCTCGAGTAAAGAAACGTTAGAGCTTTAAACCTCTCAACAGAAGAAAGGTACAGTGAAGCCTAGACTACAGCATGACAGCCAGCAGCAGACCGAACCGTGTGCCACACTACTGAAATGTGAGTGTAAGGGTGAGCTGGCTGGGACAAAAATCAGCTGGGTAGATGACAGACACTTTCTAAGTTTACCTTTTCTCAGCTGTTGAAATGTCTGCATCTTCCCTTTGTAAACAAACAGGTAAAACTTGAATGTAAAAACCTATTATTATAATTTCTGGATTGAACATATTTTATTGGCCATTAATATTAGCTTCTAATTTGCTGGTCTCTGGCCCTGGCTATAAAAGGGACTGGGTGCGGCACAATGCTTCCCTCCCCACTTTTCTCCCCACCCCACCTCACATAAAACACCAGAAAAAAAGAATGTCCTGTTTGTGAAGGGTGATGAGCTCCACAGCAGCTGCACATGTGAAATTATATAAAAACAGAGACTCCCAGAACCATGCATGGCTTCCCAGGGACATCACACGCACATCAAAAGCCCTTGATTTCTCTGTCTAAAACTCTCTTTCTGAAGAGCCACTCTGATGAAACAGTCTCCCAACTGAGTCATCTTTAAGGAAGGGAAGGGGAACGCACGTGCTGCTAAGAGTTACTGTTCAACCGTGCTAGTCACACATGGCTGAACCTAACTTCCCTCTGACAATTTCTCGTTTCAATATGTCCAAGTGAATCACGGAAGTGCCCTTCTTTTAAGTTTATTTTAAGGAGTACACCAAAGAAGATGTCAAAAGTGTACCCAATGTTCTGACATCCAACCCACACTAATTAAATGCCAGCCACACCAAACACTATGCTCTAAGATCCAAGAGGAACAAAATACATACTCACAGGAGTAAAACTTCCAGTTCTGATAAAAATCTCTTCCAGTGCTTCTTAAACTGCATGTTTTTCTCCTAAATGTCATATAAGAAAGAAAAAGGAAACAATTTGAGAGATGACTCTTTACTTCTGAATGTCTTTACCTAGGGAGAGTTTCCATTTTTGACATAGAGTTGATCTACACTCCCTGCAAACACCCCCCCAGGAGTCCTTAGAATTCCTCAGATTTCAAAAAAAAAATACAGTTTCACTCCCAAACAAGACTTACAACCATTATGACTGAATTGAAAGGTTTTCTGCAATCTGCCATGTTGCAAATGCCGTATTCAAACTCACTAGTTTCACACATTCACATAAATCCAAAATATTATGCGTTCTCAGAAAGTTCCACACTGATAGAAACTCCTCACTGATCTCTCTCTCTCTCTCTCTCACACACACACACACACACACACACACAAATTTTATGTTACCTGTGTTCTTTGCAACTTCTACTGTTATGGCATTTATGAGTTGGCTCATTTGCATATGTCCATTCAAATTTATTTTTGCATTAACTTTGAAAAGGTGCCCCTACTACGCAAAGGAAATTGTAACTTCTATAGTATATACTATATACTATATACTATATAGTATACTTTATAAACTATAAAGTTTCACATCTAGACAAGTGGTTCAGGGCTTTAATCTCACTGTTCAGGGGGCAGGTATGTCTCTATGAGTTTGAGGCCAGCCTGGGTCTACAAAGTAAGACCCTGTCTAAAAGCAATAATAATAATAATAATAATAATAATAATAATAATAACAACAACAATAATAGAAACTAGCCAAGATCTAGGCACACAGATGGTGAAAAAACTAATAACTTCAACAATGTTGTGTTGAGCCCTTGGACAGGAGATAGCACGTCCGTGGTGTCTTCACTGTTGTTTGTACGTTCTGGATTTAAAGTTCCTTCCTTCCACCACGAACGTGCTGCATTCAGATGTTCCTAGTGATAAGGTCCTCTTTTGAACTGGCTAGAAAATGAAGTGTTCAGAACTCTATCGTCATCGAAATCCAAGGGGAATTCTGGGCACCACTGTTCAAGTTGAATTAAAAATAGTGAGCCCCGCTCACTAACCATTTCCAAGGACTACTCCATTGCAACCTACATTTTGCAATTCTCTATCCAGGAAGAAGAGGTCCCTCCCTTGTACTTACTATTTCTCACTTTTTATCAGCTACAGTTCTGTTTTGTTTTTGTTTTTGTTTTTGTTTGTTTGCTTTTTGCAGGAGAGTGCTTTGTTTTGCTTTAAATCTGGTAAGCCGCCAGGCTCCTGTCTGCGTCTCTGCAAACCTTTTGCTTGAATGTGGTTTATGAACAAAAGACTTCATCTGGGCTGGGAGCTGCCGAGAAACACCAACCCTGCAGCTGTTGCCTTGTGCTGCTGCCCTGACCTGCGGACCCCGAATCAGCCATCGTAAGATGCTGTATAGGTGAGCGGAAGTGCAGGAGAGTTGAGCAGCACAGACCTGATAATCTGGTAAAATTCTCCACTTCTCCTTCTTTGAGAAACATGATTAAAAGCATTGTCCCAATGTTTCAAGTTGCATTCCTTAAGAGAAGTATGTGATTACTTCATTAAGGGGCCTCAGTTTTCGTGTCTTCCACTGGCCTATGTGAGTTGGGTTAAAAAAAAAGGAAGGAAGGGTGGAGGGAAAGAAAAAAAGAAAAGGGAAAAAGGGAAGGGGGGGGCAAAGTCCTGCACTTCCACTTGCTGTCTTCAGAGGGAGCTGTACTGTAGGGTAGGACCATGTGCAGCAAGACTTTGTGCCGTTCAGTTCTTAAAAATGACCTGTATGGTCTTCCTCTAAACCACTCAAACCATCCACAGATCACGTACTAAAGAGCTCTGTAGTAAGGCTCTGGGATGCACAAAGAAATAACTGAGAAACTTACTCAGCTACCCCAGTGGGAAAAGCAGATGAAGAAATCACTGCAGTGAAATGAGGTAATGATGATGTAGCTGAGTCAGGTCACTGAAGCTACGCTGGAGGGGAAGATGCAGTCAAAAAAAAAAAAGAAAAGAAAAGAAAAGAAAAGAAAAAAAAGACCTAGAGGCGCAAGAGCAGGCCATTCCAAAGTCATCAATGAAAATTCCAACAATCCGGTAGCAGCTACAGAGAGAAGAATGGAGAAACTTTCTGGGGAGGTGACTTTAGGGTTCAACCATTGAAAAAGTATGCCAATGGGGCCAGTGACTCACTGACGGTTAAAAAAACTGGTTTCAGTTGGTCTCAAGGAACAATATTCTAATGTCTTTTTTACGATCCAATTTTCTTTAGTAGATGGTTGATCTCAGGAATTTCAGTGTGTCTATATAAGATTGTTGATACAAAATTCAATTTAAGGACACGAAGAACTCACTTAATAATTACACAAAAGACTCTGTAACATAAGCTACAAGCAGGAATCGCTTAGAGTCCATCCTTTCTGGACTTCCCAATCCTGTCCACTGGTGACTAGGTTTGGTCCATTTCATCGTATTCTCTCTTACCTTCCCCAGTGACTTTGCTTTAGCTTAAGTGATACTTCTCAACATCAGTTACATGTTGGAGATGTTTACAAAAATATTTTGTGTCTCAACAATGACTAGAATGACCCAATAATCCTAAGGGCATACTAATGAATGCATACCTTGGTGGTAACCAACAGCTCTCTAATTGAACTTAAGACTTGTTCAACAAGAGAGAAATCATGCCTATACTGGAAACCTGGCCAACTACTCAGGGCTATAAGTTGTGAATCTTGGAGAAGAACCTACAGCCACCACTTTACCAAACCAGTATAATCCCTGACTACATTCTAAATATGTCTCCATTAGTCAAAGCTAAGTATAGTTCTCACACCTCTTCAAGGAAACTTTTTCCCCCAACAGATGGAGACCATAACAGAAAAACATGAGCAGTCAAAATGAAGGGCCCAGTTCCAATGGATACACCTACGAAACAATTAATGCTCAGGGGACATGGTGGAAGAGGAGGCGAAAATATTGCAGGAGCCAGAAGATAAAAGAGTTGGAGCCTGTGTTTCCTAGAAACGTCAGAAGCTATACCCGTAAAGCCTCACCAACATGACTGTCTACACACAAGCTGAACAAGGAAAACAATAGACAAGCGGGATGGGAGCCCAGGAGGCCTCAATCAAACAAAGAACCACACGCAAGGAATGCTGAGAGTTGAGGAAATAGACTTCCCCAGGAAAGACTACACCAACTGGTTACCCAATACCAAGGGGTCAGGTCTGAAAACATGTACACAAGAAACATTATGCAAAGTAAATTGGTTGTATTTATGTATTTGGGATTTATATATTTTATAATGCATGTTTATATAGGATATACATATAATAATATTTTATAGATTATATTATATGATGTATTTACATATGCGTATGTGTTTATTATATATACACATATATATGTAACAACAATTAAAGAAAAAAGTCATGTATTTGAAAAAGGGGGCACATGGAAGGGTTTGAAAGGAGGAAAGGGAAGGCAGAAATGACATAACTATATTATAATCTCAAAAATTTTAATATTGGTGTCTGACACCTAAAGACATTTTATAAAATATTCGTACCTGCCGCCTCCACCATCACTCAGACTCAACCAGCTGCTAAGGTTCCCCCTCCTCCCCTCTCCTCTGCCTGAAATGGACATTTAGTTTCCTGGGTGATTCTACCACAGGCATAATTGGTAGCATCAGCTTAAGCTCCACTTGCTTGATAGTTTTCACTGCAGAATCCCTCTATCTAGACTTTCTTCTTCCAGTAGTCCTTTGCCAACCCTCCTGCTAACCTCTAGTCCACCTACCCTCTAGTCAAAGCTGTATTTTAAACACGCACCTAACCCTTTCACTCACCTACTTCATCAGGATTGGGCTCATCTTTTCTGGATTATAGTTTGTCACTATCTCCCCATCCCCCATAGTCCCCCAAATGAATTGCTACCCACAAGGGAAATCCTGCCTCTGTTTCCCCAGCGTGTGGACTTCCCTTCCTTCACTGACTGCCAAAATAACCTCCTCAATCCAGAAGAAAGGTCACTTCCTCTCATCCTGTTTCCATTTGTTCCTGGGGAGTGTTTATTGAGAGGGTGCTCTCTGCTGGGTACTCTTCTGGGTTCTAGCTTGTCCTGTCCTTTGGGTGTCAAATGCTCCTCAGGCCCTTTGTACAAGCCTCTGTTAGAGTACTTCTATTTAGCCAGTGATGGTCGTGCATGCCTTTAATTCTAGTGCTCAGGAGGCAGAGGAGGGAGGATCTCTATAAGATCAAGGCCAGCCTGGTCTACAGAGTGAGTTCCAAGACAGCCAAAGCTCCAAAGCTACACAGAGAAACCTTGTCTCAAAAAAAAAAAAAAAAAAAAAAAAAACAAGAAGAAAAAGGAGAAGAAGGAGGAGAAGGAGAAGAAGAGGAGGAAGAAGAGGAAGAAGAGGAAGAAGAGGAAGAAGAAGAAGAAGAAGAGGAAGAGGAAGAGGAAGAAGAAGAGGAGGAAGAGGAAGAGGAAAAGGAAGAAGAGGAGGAAGAAGAAGAGGAGGAAGAAGAAGACGATGACCTTCTGCATCAGCAGTTTAATCTTTTACTGAGTTGGGTATTTCCCCTGAAAAACCATGAACTCCTGAGAACAGAGTAGGCCCACTTCACAGGAGTTTCATGGACAGTTCTTGGTTGCTGACTAACAGTGAAGAAAATGAAGGGCACTTCTTTCATGCCCTTCTGACTTTTGAGCTTAGTTTTCAAACTGGCTGTATTCTCTCTGCTGCCTTCTCGTCTTCTGTTCTCGCCATTGCTCTGTTGCTTCAGTAGGATTTATGTACCAAGTGCACCCTATAAAGGCCCTTGCTGGAGTCTTGGTTCCTAAGTGGGGCCATGTTCATAAACGGGCCATTTGGGAAGGAGTTAGATCTTGGGAGCTCAGACACAATGTATGCATTAAGCTCGTCATAAAGTCACTATCACAGCATTATTGGGAAGTGGTTAAACATAGGATCATGGGGGCTGGAGAGATAGGTCACAGTGAGGAGCACATAGTGCTCTTGTAGAGGACCTAAGTTCAATTTCCAATGTCCATGTCTGTTGGGAGGCTCACAACTGCCTGCCACTCCAGCTCCAGAACACACACACACTCACAGATACCACCTCACACACACATATACACACACATCATACATAACATACATCACACACACACACACACACACACACACACACACACACACACATCCTCCCTTCTTCCTTCCCTTTCTTTCTATGTTTTTCAAAGCAGGTTAAATCACTGGGCCTATGTTCTAGAAGGATGCGCCCAGGTGCTGCCCTCTCCGATTCTTGGCCACCATGAGCTGAGCAGCTGTACTCTACCAAGTCCTACTATAATGCTCTGTCTCACCACAGGCCAGCGCACAGGGTCACCCACTGAACACAGACTGAAACCCCTCTGACTGTAGCCAAAATAAGCCTTTCCTGCTTCAAGTTGACTCTCCCAGGCATCTGACACCATGATGAAAACCTTAAGCATCCTACTCGAAGCCTCTCCTTCCTCACCTTCCTGAGCTCTGATAAAAGAGCGTCCATTCAACCGGACTTCATGCTCCCCCGTAACACAGCTACGGGGCTTGCAGAGGATGATGCTCTGACTAAGTGCGCATGCACGTTCTCAGCCTTTTTTTTTTTTTTTTAATTTATAAGGTCACGGTGCATAGCCTTAGCTTGCCTAGAAATCTCTTGGTAGACCATGCTAGCTTTATACTCACAGACATCTGCCTTCCTCTGGAGCCCTAGTGTGGACATTAGAGCACATACGCCACCACTGCCCGGCCAATCTGATTTTCATTCAAGTTCCTGGGGTCATGAACTACTTTTAAAAAAGTGTTACCCATGCAACACATCTGGGTACGGGAGAGATTTTTATCTTACACACCACATCCGTTTCAGGACAGGCGTTTGTGGTTTAGTCATTTCTTAGCCTCACCCCCATCCTAAGGTCAGGGATCCCATTTTCTTGTTTTCAAATATCCCTTCTAACAATGCTGATTTTTTTTCAAAAAGACACATTTTAATATGAAATAGGAGTATACGAGTGGAACTGATGTCGACGATAACGATTCTTTCCATACCTGCTTAAATAATTTAACAGCGTATGTTTGGTTTTGAATCTCCGCTCTGTAGACTTCAAATATCTCCCCTTCTCCAATTAGGAAGTCTTTATGGAAACGCTGGGTTGCTTCTAGGACACTCTGGAAGCTGATGGGGGGTTTATGCGGTATTCCTTAGGAGGGAAGAAAGGGAGACAATGAGCCTTCTCTGCTTCTGAGAGTCAATGTCGCTGTTTCAAGTAGGATGTCTGTACTGAATGCACATCAGAATAGGAGGCCAGAGAGTAAATCCCGGAGTCCACAGAGAGCCCCACCACGTGTCCTCTGGGCCTTTTTGTGGTTCTGGCTTTCGCCCTTCCACACACCACGGGGCTTTTTAGATAGATGAACAGCAGCATGATCTTTATCTCCAAAGAGGTTAACCAAAGAAGCTTAGTTGAGGCCATGATTCTAGGAATCTATTTGTCCTGAGGTCAAGGCCTTACATTTGACCTTCTGTCAAAATGCTGCCTGCCTGTCCAGGATTTCTCTTGAGATGACTAAGCAGTGTTTCCCAAGCATTGCTGATAGAGAAGCTTTGAGGCGCCAAAGCCTCTAACCGCCTAGCTGATTTCCTCAGAGTAAATGAAGACACTTCACCTCAGAAAAGATAACCTAAAGTAGGTGCTGGGTGAAGATATTTACAGATAACCAAATGCAGATCTGAAAAGATGAGAAGGCCCAGAGAGGCAACTCTACAGCAGAGAGCTGGCTGAGCACCCCAGATGTTCTACTCTCGGCACTACAAAGGATGAAAACAAAACATAAAAAGCGTGGCTAAGGCAGAGCTCAATTTCAACCATGTTTCTACAAACATCCCTCTAAAAGCACTCACCGTTTACTTTAGAGATCAGTGCCAAAGACTTAACCCTCGCCCGACTTCCCTGACTCTCACTCAACCGGAGAACCGGAGAACCGTGAGTCTTGGTGGAAATGACTTTAAGTACTCTTAAGTACTCTTTAAATCAGAATGACTCCCAGGTGGAACTAAAACATTTTTCCTACTAAGAAAGTAGGGAAGCTAACATGAAATACAAATGGATTTTCACAGTGACCTTCAGCATTACCTTATTATCTCAAAAGGTGCATCTATGACAACTTCTGAAGCTACGCAAAACTCAACACAAATTTTTAAATGTTTTTTTATGGCATACAAAACAAGCAAATTTTGCCAACAAACTCCCTCCATCTGAAAATCCTCTATGTTTTTAATAAGCACCATGGATCATGATGATGATGATGATGATACGATGATGATGACAACAATAATTATGATTACGCTGGTGACGATTTTCCCCTTTCTCCTCTTCCCCCTCCTCTTCTGTTTCAGAGGATCCATGTGACAAATTCATTTCTTATTTTCCTTTAATTGATGCATGACTGTTGTTGTGTTTTAGAAGGACAATTTCAGCCAATGGACCCGTATATTAATACTACATCACCCACTACAATTACAAGTGTCTATCAAAATTTAAAACATTTCATGGCTATGAAAATGTTATATTAAATTGGAATTAAACAATATAAACAGTATGGTTATTCATTATTTTCCCCTGCAAACTCGCTCACATGAAAGTGTGATTTAATTAAATTGTGATGTAATTTTGTCTTTTTTATTTTTTACCTTTTTCATTATCTTTAGGAACAAGAACATTATCCACTGTGACATTGACTGGTTCCTGAAAGATGAAATATATAGTAAGAAATTGCATTTATAAGTCTAGAAAGAGAAGAGCCTTAACAGAAATCTATAGCTCCCATGAGACTATATTATGCAACAGAGCAGAAAGCCAGAGCAAAACTAAGTTATCTCACTATATTCAATAGTATTCATTTCCTTATAGACATGGCTTCCACGTCTACTGAGAACAGCAAACTATCAATACCGTTATTGCCAGTTTTAAATGGATTGTAATGCTCTTAAAAAAAGTAACTGGTCACTGATGATTTGTTGTGATACAAACTAGCAACCCCCTAAAACACCAACTGGAGAAGGGAAAAGCTGAGTTAAGATAAGTTAAGTCCCAGGATCTTCGTAGCTCTAAAGCTCTGGTAGATCTTGGAAGCAGAGAATGCTTACTCCCCACAGATTTCAGACCTCAACTAAATACAGACACATCGACAGGCAAAGCACTTCCAACTTTCAAATGCTGCCTGCCTGTCCGGCATTTTTCTGCCAGAGAGTTCAAATCTTTTGAAAGTATCTGCACCAGAGGTCCAGGGTCGTTTTGTCTGCACACGTGCTCTACGTTGGGTGATACATTGGGAAACCGAGGCTCCTGCTGACATTTCTTTGAAGGATTGGTGCTTACTCCTGAAAGAGAAGTAAAGGGAGCTGGGTAGAGAAATGTTTGTGTCCCAAAATGTTCACTTTTCCTGAGACCATGAAAATAAATACGTCACTAGCAATGCTCATTTCTATTATCTTCATTCAACTGTAATAAATAAATAAGTTCACAGCCGTGAAACATTTTCTGATGGTGAAGTACGAAAACATACCTGCACTCATTTAATATGCAACTGGCCACGTTCAAGTGCCTTACTTATCATTAAAAAATGGTAAAGTATGAGACACAAACTGAAAGTAAAATGTGATGCTTTTGCTATGTTCTACAGATACTTAAAATGTTGAGGGTCTGAGATTATACTCCCCTGGATTGGTTTATTGTTTTTTACTCTTTTTACAACAAAGTATCAGAGATTTGTGCACACACACACAAACAATCACCAATACTCACACCCCTCTCCAAACATAAGCTATAATTTTACTTTTTAGAATTCTGCCAGAACTGGGGTTCTCTATGTACCTTCTCACAATAGATTAAAACACCTTTGTCTTTGCTGTGTTTTCTAACATTTAGATTCAACCTTTAGAATTTTCTTATTTTTTCTGGTCTAGTTACTCTTATTTTCTAGTGTTTATTAAATTATTTGTTTACAAAACTAGTAACAAACATCATCAACTAACTTTTCAAAACTCTCAAATATTGTTCAAATATTACAAAGCAACTAGTCCTATTTGATATCTACAGAACTTTCTTTCCAAACACAGAACACACACAGCCTCCTCCAGAGGATTCTCCAAAACAAACCATATGTTGGACAATAAAATGAACCTTGATATACTTAGATGGTTTGAATCACACAAAGTACATTTTCTGACCCCTGAGAAATTAAAGTAGAAATCAGCTGTAAAGAGAAACTTGAAAATCTCACAGACTGGAATATTAAAAATCATGACTAATGAGTAAAAGACAATGGCAGAAAGTAAAGTAGAAAAATACTTTGAGATGATCAATAATTCAAAAAATAATTAAAACTTAAAGTAGGTAGCACAAAGCACGGTTGAGAGGAAAGCCTGTAACTGTAAAGTTCTACCTTAAAGGGAGAACTAGCTGAAACCAGTTGTCACTTTCATTTTAGGAAAACTTTGTCATTTTCATTTTAGGAAACCGTCTTTTAAAAATGGCAAAGTAAACAAAAGCAAATGGGAAGAATTCACGTCAGAGTAGAAATAGAGAACTTTCAAAAGAAGATTCATAGAAAACAAGGCTGGCTCTTTGAAAAGATCGTCAAAGCTGACAATAGTTTGGATAGGATGAAAATAGAAGAAAGGAAGGAAGAAAGGAAGGAAGGAAGGAAAGAAGGAAGGAAAGAGGGAATAGAGGGGGTAAGAAAGGAGAGAGGCTCAAATTACTAAAATTAAGAACAAAAGAAGAGCAATCATTACTGATTTTACGCTTTTACTCAGTCATTAGTGCTATAAAGCAGCATTATGCTATCAAGACAATATAATACATAAGAAATTAGATAAGTCAAATGCTATGAGCAGATTTCTAGTGTTTTCTAACCTCCCAGACAGAAAAGGTCTAGTCCATACAACTGCACTAGTTAATTCCACCAAGCACACACAGTTTAACACAAACCCTGTAGATTCCTCAGCTGCGGAAGGAGAGAGAACAACTCCTGGTTCATTTAATGAAGCCAACATTATTTTGATACCAATGCCAGACAAACACAGCAAAGTGCAGACACAACAAAACACGACCAAACCAAATCTACAAATATGCAAAGTATCATGCCACAACCAGGTGGGATTTATCCCAGAAATCCAAGATTTACTTAAAACTGTAAGTCAATTAATGCAACACAGCACCTCAATAAAATCAGAGATGCAAAAGTACATGCTTTCCTCAAGACTGTAAAAAATAGACAGAATTCAATACCCTGTCATGATAAAACAAGATTAAAAAACCCTAGAAACAGAAGGGAGTTTCCTCAGTCTGATATAAGGTATCTATGAAAAACACATAGTTAACATCATAATCAATGGTTCATCTCAGATTTACCTACCTCCTGCACTAGGGCAGTAAAATAATTGCTTCCTATGAATCTGCTAATGTTATGTGTTCAAAACTGAAATAAACTGTGCATTTGCAAAAGATTAGGAGATGACCTAGAATTTAAAAGATAGAATGTTTCCCCCTTAAGATCAGGAACAGAATGGGGCTGCTTGGTCATCCCAGTTCTGCTTATAATTTCATCCAAAGTTCTAGCCAGCAGAGCTAACAGAGATAAAGAGCCAACACACACTCTAAATCATGTATTGTCAGATACAACATTTCAAGCCTGGAAGCTATAAAATCACCAAATTTCATCATCTTTTTGTTATTAAAGAAAACAAAAATAATATTTCAGTGCCAGAAAATGATAGCTTTAAAATAGTTTCTCTAAGAAGCAAGTAGAAAACTTGTATATTGTGCATCAAAGCTTTTTAAAAACTAAAAGACAAAAATAATGATTTGGGGAGATAGCTCAGCTTGTAAAGTATGAGGATCTAAATTCAATCTCAAGAACCCACTGAAAAAAAATAAAACCAAAACAGACAAGAAACCAAATAGCCAGGCACAGTAGGCATGCTGATAACGCCCAAGATGGCGGAGGAGCCAAGCAGATGCCTGGGGCTTGCTAGCCCTTCAGCCTTGCCTGAGATGATCTCCAGACCAATGAGAGACTGAGGAATAAGGTTTATGACTCCTGATGAATGCCTTCTAACCTACACACGCACACATACACACACACACACACACACACACACACACACACACACACTTGTACCTACATGTACACATACACAAAGCAAAACCACAAAAAAAAAAAAAAAAAACCAACCCTACTTGTCATTAAAATATAGGGGCAAAATACAGTGTGTATTCATCTGCATGCTGGAAATATGCTGGAAATATTACAGCAAACAAAAGGTTCCTTGGAAGGGTTGGTTTTGCTGTATCTTGGACGAATTACTTTATGGTGGTTATAAAGCCAACTGGGAACAGAATCCTGCAGGATTAGTTCCTGGGGGAAAACCTCCAGACCTTCCTCCTTGAGAATGGAAAGACAATTCGAATCTAAGCAATGTCTAGAGGTTCAAATAAGAAAGGTGGAACATACCTCTAGAATTAAAAGTATCTCACCAGAAAGAGTGAAGTTTTAAAAGGTGGGCAAAAAGAGATTATGTGTGTAACTGCAATCCTCTCTGTGGTAGTAGCACACGGAGACTGGATCTTCTGATGAATTTTCAGTCAGAGCTCTGCCTCCTAAGTCAGTGACTGGCTTCCACAGGACACACCTGCTCAGTGACACGAACCCAACACACCTCTGCATTACACTTTTAACAACAGTCAGTTGACTTTTTCAACATGATGATTTGATTAAATTATCAACTCAGTAAGTTACAATTAACCAATGCTATGTCACTAGTGAAGTCCTCAAGTGAGATGTTATCATCTTCCTCTCATATTTACCTACCTCTTGCACTGGGGCAGTAAAATAATTGCCTCCTATGAATCTGCCAATGCTATGTGTTCAAAACTGAAATAAACTGTGTGTGTGCAACAGACTAAGATAACTAAGAATGGAGAATTTTGGGTACTTACAACCCTTCTCATTCTTTGCTATGCAACAACATAGATGGTGAAAATGCACCACTAGAACCTATTCCAGAACACTGAATATCCATGTACCCTGTTAAGTTGGTACAGGTTTGTACTGAGAGGAACAAGCCATACAGGGTGGTTTCCATGGCTGGAAATGGCTCAGATAACGAAAACGCAATGCATTTACATTTCTTAGAGACTCACTATTTTTCACTTCTTCAGCTTCAGACTGAAGTACCCCATTGTACAAGCGAAGAAATCACATACAAAGGGTCAAAAAGATTATCAATTATTAGGTAGCAGTTTCCTCTGAAGCTTATTATGACACAGAAAGCCCTAAAATAAAGCCTTCTGAAGATGCTGGAAGTATCCAGTGATGGTGACACATGCCTCTAATCACAGCATTTGGGAGGCAGATGGAGGTAGATACATCTCCGAGTTCGAGGCCAGCCTGGTCTTCAGAACAAGCTCTGGGACAACCAGGGCTACATATAGAAATCCTATCTCAAAGAAAAGAAAACAAAACAACAACAAAAAGATGCAGGAAGTAAACAACTCAGATGTTTTAGGAAGTTCCTGAAACTGATCAGATGCGCAACCCTCCCCCTCCCCACGATTATAGGAAGGTAGAAGGGAGGTGAAGTCATGAGAATCACCCTCCTGTAAGTTCACATACTAGCTAGCCTGAAATACGGAGTACGGCAGAAACAACAGAACCAACGCCAAAAAGTTATCCTCTGACTTCCACACTTGTACCACAGCATGACTGCAACATGAGAAAAACAGACAGACAGACAGACAAGGCAAACTAGAGCGAATGGCAGATAAGTAAGGCATAATTAAAGGCCGTGCCTAAAAAGGAAAATCACAACTTTATTCTGGAGGTATTATTTACATTCAGAGAAGGCCTAGTTATATTATTGTTTATAAGTGAGAGAGCCAGTGTTGTTGCTATCTTTTGAAAATATAATTAAATGAAAAATAACATTAGATATATTTTTATTTAAATATTATCGTTCCTATTCTGAGCTTTAGACAAAAAAGCTAATGCTTTTAACTGATAAATGAAATGTTAAAACCCTTTAGCTGCCAGGGAGGTGGGACACACCTTTAATCCCAGCACTCAGGAAGGAGAAGCAAGTGAACATCCGTGAGTTCAAGGCCAGCATGGTCTACAGAGCAAGTTTCAGGTAGGTCTCAAAAACAAAAACAAAAAAAGTAGAAAGGAATTCATTGTATTGTTAAGCAATGAAGCGAGAAAGTGACAAGCCATATGTCACTGACAGACAGCTAGGCAGGTATGTGGAAAATGCACTACCTCTGTTTAGAGAGGAGAAGTCCCATAGGATGGGTAGAGGGCCACAGTATGAGAACACGCTTACCATGGTTCATGATCAAATGGATAGCTCGTTGATGTCCCATCTTCTGGAGGACCTGTAAAAGGTCGCCGATGGTCTTGTTTTTCTGTGCCCAGGACCACAGCAATTCTCTTGTTCCACTTTTACCTTGGTCTACATATTTTTCAATGTGACGAACATCCAGCCAGCTGTTCGAAAGTTGCTCCGCTACGGAAATTGCAATAGAAAGAAGGCAAGAATAGATTACCTTTATTCAAATACTTGGGGTTCATCTTGCCACCTTGTATATTTTATGTCATTTGAACTGCAGCCTTTTACTTTGCAGTTACTTCTTATGTACTCCTGCGCTTCTGCCCATATGCACAGGTACTAATCAGGACAAACTTGAAAGAATTAGTAACAGTTGGAACTTAGCCTTGTTCTAGCTCTACCAACTGTCTCACTAGCGGATTCATCTCCTCTCCTAGAGTTTCTGCATCGCATTTGTTGACCTCTGAGTCTGCTCTGCTCTCTGGCTCCTTGTCCTTCAGGTCAGTGGATGACAGTGTGTCTTCAGTATCCAATGTCCAGGGATTTGGTAAGGACATCTTATCGCCATTTATGCTTATCTGCAGTGCTTTGGTTTCTCTACTACCAGTTACCCTTTTAACTCTGATGGCGAAGATGCTACTCGGGTTTGGTTTTTTTTTTTTTTTTCTTCACTGTTCAATGAATCTTCTTTATGACTGCTGTGATATATTTGCTTAATAATGATGTTCTTCCTTTTTCCTTCCGTATTCATCAACAGTACTTTTTCTGTAATGAAGAGTGTGCACTCTTATTTCTCTATTCACTCAACTCTTAATGTTTTTCAGTAAGGACTCACTGACATTCTATTCTAAAAGAGTAAAAATCTAATAATATTATTACTTCATTGCTAAAGTTGTTTTGCTGTGTCCATTTAGGTGGGCTCTTGTCTTCTGGAAAGGCCTATATGTTTTAGCACTTCCTAATTTTCTGGTTGTACAGTGCTCCCTGTTCATTTGTTTATTTTCCCTTCCTGCACAGCTATAATCACTTGCTCAAAGACCTGTAGTTCTTCTACCAGAAATTGTTCCAAAGCTAAGCTCCAGTTGCTGGCTAGGATTAAAGCTTTGTCACTTACAGACCCCCGAAGCAAGCATAGCCGACAAATGCTTTCATGTGCACAGGTTCAATGTCTGTATTTCTCAAACTGTATGCGTGCACACTACAAACCAAATGTCTATTCTGGTACCCTTGGTTTGAATCCGATACTGCAGGTTCCCTGTTGTTCCTCAGATGTAGCTTTATTCTTCAACAGTAAGAAACTGCTCTTGTTACTGACAGTGTTTCTATTTATTTCGTCTTACTATAAGCATCAAGTACGTTCAGAATTGCTGAGCCACTCTTGTAAGAAATACACAAACCAAACTGAAGCACAATAGCTCCTGCTGCCCTGGGCCAAACAGCATCTGGTTGAGCTGCTGTTTACCGACCACTCAGGTTAATTCTTTTCTTCCTCACTCCTTCTTCGAGGTCACTACTCATTTGTAATATAATAAATTTGTAAATATGCACTGGTTGTTGTTGTGGATATAAATATGTTTTTATTTGGATCCCAGGTGTAGGAGATGGGACTGATTCAGATTTTCCACAGCAGCAAACTATTTGTCTTGTGCGGGCTCTGAGTGGTTTTTGTTTGTTTGTTTGCCAGTTTACATCTGAGGATTCTGGAGAAAGAATAAATGGCAGAGCCCAGAGTGATGAGGAGCTCTGAGAAAGAGGAAGGCTGCTGGTGCCCCCTCCTGCTGCTCATGGTTGCTGTTGATGCAGTTGGATAAAAAGAAGTTGGAAATATCCTGAAACAGAATTTGGACTTGCCCCAAGGAACCCAAAAACTCCAACCAACAGGAAATGACCAAAGATAACTATGCTCCTTCTCCACACTAACCTCCTTTCCCTTCTATTGGGGTATTGGGGTGTTGGAAGGGAGTGGGCTGGAGAAGAGAAAAAGAGGTTTAGGAAATCCAAATATAATATTAATAAAGTATGCTAACAGGATATTTAAATATTTGTTCTATACTGTCTTCATAGTGAACCTTTGAGTAACTAAGGGCTAAGATCTTTGTAAGACCAGAAAAATGTGTCTGTGAGATAATAGGCTTTTCACTGTCCTAAATGTTGCATACAACTTGTTTAGGGTCTTTTATAAATCCTCAAAAAGTGATACCAAAGCTATGTAAGATTTTATGGTGCCCAAGTTAACAGGATTTATGGAATGAAAATTTGTGCCTCCTCACTACACAGTTCCAAAATGTTAGTGCCCTGTAAAGCAGAAAAGATAGGAAAGAGAGGACAACTGACAGAAGGGCAGACTTACTTGTTGTTCCTGTGGTAATACCCCAGGTTAGCTCAGTCCTATCGAGTTCTAACGTAAGCAGGGTGTTTGGGGATCATGGATGGTCATGGCATCACACCACCATGCCTCTCCCTCCAAGAAAGACTATAAAAGTTAGCATCCTATACATATGACTGGGGGAGGAAGTCAGTTACCGCCTAAGAATAATCATGTGAATCTTGACATACTATCCTGACTGGTTATTGGAACTCAGTATGCTCCTTCCGCCACACTCAAATATGGAATCAGCCCTCCAGCACCAACCATGGCAACACCTCTGAAAGATTCTGCCATCTACTGATGATATTCTTCAAAAAGCTAGCAGGGACTCAGAGCTGGTAAGAACAACAAACCTTAAAAAGCTTTCTTCTCTTTAAAATTGGTTTCAGAATCTCGTGTCTGTTAAATTCTTAGGAAGTTGCTTTCTCCTTTAGAGTGTTAGAAATCACATTGAAAAGACAGGTGTTTCTGCTTTCATATGGTATCCTCTGCCCCACTTTTCCATTTCTATAAGACTTTGCCAGAATGCACAGTTAACTTCAACTTTATATCCTTGTCAATTCTCAGTGAAACCATAAAGTTGAAGACATTAAAAAACAAAACAACAACAGCAACAAACGCTGCTCCTCCCTGTTCTTTGAGGGAACGTTGACTTTGCAGGTACCAACAATGCTCACCAACATTCCCAGTTCTCTACTCTACCGTTGACGATTGAATTTTACTGTCTTGTAAGGTTATGGATGCCCAAATGTCATTCTACCAAAATGCTGAAGATCCCGGGTACAACTCATCAGAATTTTACTGCAGTCCTGGCCCAGTACAGGCACATGCCAGCACGGGGTGACTCAGAAATGATACACCCTGGATGCTGGGCCACCATGTGGAGTACAGTGGCACTGGACCCTCAGTGCTCATCTCCGTAGGAAAAAGCACAGTTGTGCTGTGTTAAAGCATCAAGGTTTCGATGCTTGTTGCTGCAGCATAACTTAGACTATCCTGACTAACACATACTTTCAATGTTCTTACTGTTTAAATGACAGCTTGTTTCCAAATAAAGTAAAAGGAAGTGGCAGCTTTTGTGATCACATATTGAGTGAGCAGGTAACTGAGGCAATCAACTTGGAGGTATTTACAGTCTGTAAGGAAAGAATGTGTACAACACAACAGATGACATCATTGAGCTGAAGTGTTATTAACATGCCTCACAAAAATGCTTGCACTCCTCACGTATTTTTAAAGGGATAGTGTCTAACAAAGAGGTCAGAACTACACAGATACCAAATATATGTTTTAGGTTTATGGCTATTACAGAAAAAAAAGGGGGGTCTTTAATGCAAAACTCTTGGCAAGAGACAGCAATACTATTTTAATATATTGTTGGCCCTTCCTATCCAGTAGCTCTGTACCCAGAATTCAACTAAGTAAATATAAAAAAAAAATATCATTTTAAAAGTTATATCCCAAGTGTTTTGGTGTACGCCTGTAATCCTAGCACTTGGGAGGCAGGGGCAGGTGGAGCTCTGTGAATTTGAGGCTAGCCTGGTCTATAAATGGAGTCTAGAATAGCCAAGACCATACAGACAAATCCTGTCTCAAAACATCTCCCCCCACCAAAAAAAAAGTTATGTCAAGAACTTCATAGCAAGACTCTATTGCTGATCTATCTCATACTTCAGTCACAGAACATTGAAAAAATGAAGCTGGTGATTACCTGACTGGCTTTCATAGTGCTGGAAGGTGCTGTGTTTGCTACCAGACTGATAAACAGCAGTCTTGCCCAGCTGGGAACCCTATGATCTACAGTAGCAAGCATGCGCTGACAAGATATGCACACAGGTCCAAGAGTAACAGGAATGTTACAGAAGTAAACAACCACTTTCTGATTGCATTTGAGGTTCACTTCACAAGACAGAATTCTTGCTGGTACCATTCAGAACCAAGAACTCCGTGGGTGGGCAAGCTATAGACCCTAAGGAAGAACCTAATGGTATTGCTCTGCTAACTATACATTATAATGCATTTCCTTGTAAGTTCTTATCTTAACTTATTGCATCTCTCAGCCCCCATCAGAGAAGCCTGTTTTTCTAGTAGGTGGTGATTAACAACACAGAGACACACAACGGCTCAACATGCAGAGAACAAGAGACCATGAATTTGCTCAGTCCTAAGTGAGACATTATATCACATCCCCTCCTCCCAAGCCTCAGGGATCTTCTGGAAAGGGGGTGGGGTGTGGAAAGTTTGCAAGAGCCACACATAGTGGAGAGCTATAGTGAAACAGTGTTTTCCAGACACAACAAGGCAGTTGGACATAGGAATTCAGAACCCCTGTGACTGTATGCACAAGACTTGCATAAGATGAAGCCAGACCAAATCCCAACATGGATAGGGAGGAACTTGCAAAGTCCTACACCCGTTGAGGAGGTATGGGAAACTGGAGGATGCCGGGAAGCATGTGCAGAAGCCCTCAGGAGCCACCGCTAGAAGGTCCTTCCTCACCTCCCTACACGCTGGCAACAATGAGTGAACTTGGTGAGATATAAAATAAGATCATATGAAGCTGAGAGGGAATTGGGGTTGGGAAATAGGGATGAAATTGGAAGGGAGAAAGTTGGTAGGGATTTGATAAAAAGAAAACACATTCTATGCATGATGAAATTCTCAAATAAAATTTTTAATTATATCAGGAGTTGCGGATATAAGCCAGTGGTAGTGTTCGCCTATTTTGCAAAAGCCCTGGGTCTGAGCCCTAACTCTACAACAAAAAAGTCAATATTTAAACATGTTGTCATTACTTGCCCGAAGTAAT